GAGCAGCAGCAGCAGCAGCAGCAGCAGCAGCAGCAGCAGCAGCAGCAGCAGCAGCAGCAGTAGCAGCAGCAGCAGCCGCAGCAGCAGCAGCAGACACCGCCGCAGCAGCTGCGACCACAGCAGCTCCCTCTGGAGCGGCAGTTGTTCCCACCCGTGAGTGGCCTTCGGGCCCTTGGTCTTCCCTCCTCTCCTCCTGTTCACACTCCGTCCCCTCCAGCGTTTGGTCCCACGTTTCCTCCTCCTGACGCCAGTCCGGCGGTCTGGTCTTCTCCTCCACCGCAGTCTCCTCCACCTGGTGTCCCGCACTCTCGTGTCCGTCCCTGTCCTCCGCGTGCTCGTCACTCGTCTCCCGTTACCGACCTCCGCACTGCCCTCCTTTGTTCGTCTCTTCGTCGTCCTCCTCCTGAGTCCGTTCTCCCGTGTCCGCCTCCGTCCTCTCTCCCTTTCCCCCCTACTCCTGTCACTGACTACTACCGCGCTGTTCGTCCTGTTGTCTCTCGTGTGTCAAATATACTAGGAGTACGGCCTAGGCTTAGTAGCCTAGGCCACAGTAGGACTACGAAAGGAGGCGCCAAGTACGAGCTAGGATTGTGTGCAGGAACAGAATTGAGAAGGAATGATTGAACTAGCAAGCAGCAGGATACAAATAGCAAACCCTAAGGGGCTGTACTCACTATTGAGTACCCCACTGCAGGCTACACAAACAACATATTATGACACACCCCCATAGCCAAAGTGGGGTGAAATCAGCACAATGAGCAGGCATAGCAGAAGTTCACAATTATGAGCAAAGCTAGAGGCAGTCACAGGAGGCCAGTGAGGAGGAGGAGTGACAGTGAGGGGAGTGTAGATTGGAGGCGACGGCTGAAGCTGCAGACACACGGGCAACAGAAGCGGCTGGCACAGTGGCTACCGGAGCAAGGGCCCCGGACTACTGGAGTAACAGACTCTGCGGCTACGACGAGCGGCAGGAGTAACGGACCCACGGGCGACTGGCGCAGCAGGCTCGCTGGGCTACCGAGAGCAAGGGCTCCGGACTGCTGGCGCTGCTGGCGACACGACGGCGACCTCCGATCAACCTCCCCCAACTGCCCCACACCCCTGTCACACACCCCCTGCTTCACCCCTAGTTCCACTCCCACATCACCCCCCTAGTGCCCCTCCCCACGACTCCCACACCTCCACCCCCCTCAGCGGCAGCTGCAGCAGTGGGAGACGAAAAAGGAGGAGGGGAGAACCCACACCTTTCACCCCCATGCTCGCCACCCCACACCCCCACCACCGCGGAACCCACGGGGGAACAGGAGGAAGGGGCAGCACGGGGGGGGGGGGGGGGGGACGGGATGGGATGGAGGGACGACGCCGCGGGCAGCTGCAGGGGCGGCTGCTGCAGTCGCGGGCCGCTCCAGGGGCGGCCGCTGCAGTTGCTGGCTGCTCCAGGGGCGGCCGCTTCAGTTGCTGGCTGCTCCAGGGGCGGCCGCTGCAGTTGTAAGGAAGGAGGGAGGGAAGGCGCGCGGCCCCCAGGGCGCCTCGACGGGCGACGTGAAGGGAGCCGCGCGGCCCCCCAAGGCCGCCGCGACGGGCGACAGGAAGGGCGCCGCGCGGGCCCCCAGGGCCACCGCGACGGGCGACGGGACGGGCGCTGCGACGGGCCCCCCGGGGGTCGCCACGACGGGCGATGGGAGGGGCGCCGCGCGGGCCCCCAGGGCCGCCGCGACGGGCGACGGGAAGGGCGCCGCGCGGGCCCCCCGGAACGCCTCGACGGGCGACGGGACGGGCGCCGCGACGGGCCCCCCCGGGGTCGCCACGACTGGCGACGGGAGGGCAGTGCGCCGTCCCCCTTAATGGCGCCTCGACGGACGACGGGGGGAGGGCAGCGCGTACGCCCCCGAGGGTCGCCACGACGGGCGACGGGAGGGCAGCGCGCCGCCCCCCTTTGATGGCGCCACGACGGGCGACGGGGAGGGCAACGCGTCCGCCCCCCGGGGTCGCCACGACGGGCGACGAGGGGGGGGGGGGGGATAGCGCACATGCCCCCGAGGGGCGCCACGACGGGCGCCACGGTGGGATAAACCGCCACGCGCCCCGAGCGCGCGGCGGAAGCAGAAACCCTAATTTCTGCGCCGCGCACCACGGGGCGCGCGTCGGTCAGTACAGCAGCGGAAGCAGGTTGTGGGCCCATACACAGGAAGGCGGCAGACATGCCGCCCTCTGATACCATGTCAAATATACTAGGAGTACGGCCTAGGCTTAGTAGCCTAGGCCACAGTAGGACTACGAAAGGAGGCGCCAAGTACGAGCTAGGATTGTGTGCAGGAACAGAATTGAGAAGGAATGATTGAACTAGCAAGCAGCAGGATACAAATAGCAAACCCTAAGGGGCTGTACTCACTATTGAGTACCCCACTGCAGGCTACACAAACAACATATTCTGACATCGTGTCCTCGCCACTCTTGTCACCGACTCTCGTTTCCCTCCGTCGTCTGTCTCGGCTCTCACTGCCGCTGTCGCTGAGTTTGCTGCCGCCAGTCGCCTTGACTACACCACCCGTGTGGTGCCAGCTCCTCCCTCCCGTCCTCTGTCCGTCGGGGGTGGGTTTGCCCTTGGCTGTGACGTCCTAGAGGACAGAGAGTCTGAGCTGGAGTACTGGGCAGCCGCTTCTCCCTCTGTCTGTGCCATGCTGCTATCCCCTGAGGGAGACCCCGACGCCCTTGACATACCGACTCCTCGCACTTACCGCGAGGCAGTGTCAGGGGCGTGGGCTTCACAGTGGAAAGCGGCTATGGCCTCGGAGTTAGCGTCTTGGAGATCCACAGGCACCTACGTTGACGCAGTTCCCCCTCCCAGGGCGAACGTAGTCGATGGCATGTGGCTCTTCAAGGTGAAGCGGCCGCCTGGTTCACCGCCTGTGTTCAAGGCGCGCTACGTGGCCAGGGGTTTCAGTCAGCGTGAGGGAGTTGACTTCTTCCAGACCTTCGCCCCGACCCCGAAGATGACTACTCTTCGGGTGTTACAGCACGTAGCAGCACAGCGAGACTACGAGCTGCACTCCCTTGAGTTCTCTACTGCGTTTCTCCAGGGCCGACTACACGAGGAGATCTGGCTGCGCCGCCCCTCCTGGCTTCACTGACACCTTCCCACCTGGGACCCAGTGGAGCCTGAGACGGCCAGTCTACTGTCTCCGCCAGTCGCCCCGTGAGTGGCACGACACTCTTCGCTCCACGCTTCGTGACCTTGGGTTTTGTCCTTCCTCTGCCGACCCGTCGCTGTTTGTTCGCACTGGTTCCACTCCTTTCTTTATACTAGTGTACGTCGACGACTTGGTCTTTGCCACAGCAGACAGGGCAGCTCTGGCTCAGGTGAAGTCCGAACTGCAGAAGAGACACACGTGCACTGACCTAGGTGAACTGCAGCGCTACCTTGGCCTGCATATCACCAGGGACAGAGCCGCTCGCACCATCACACTGACTCAGTCACACATGGTGCAGCAGGTCCTTTGGCGGTTCGACTTCCAGTTCTCCACCACACAGCCCACACCTCTTGCTGTTGACCACAGACAGCTGGTGGGCTGCCTCATGTACCTGATGACTTGTACTCGGCCGGACCTCGCCTTTCCCCTCAGCGTCCTCTCTCGCTTTGTTGCGACTGGGAGACACCGTCCTGTCCACTGGACAGCTGCTGTGAGGGTGGCGAAGTACCTGGCGACTACATCAGGCATGGGGCTTGTGCTTGGAGGGACTCACCCAGTGGCGTTGACTGGTCACTGCGACTCTTCCTACGCTGACGACGTGGAGACTCAGCGCTCGACTCAGGGTTACTGCTTCAGTCTGGGTGCTGGTGCTGTGTCGTGGAGGTCTACATGGTCGTCGTCTGTGGCTACTTCCAGTGCAGAGGCAGAGATCTACGCTGGTGCCATGGCGGCACAGGAGCTTCGCTGGTTGACCTTCTTGCTCGCCGACCTTGGTGAGCGGCCTCGCTCTGCACCGACCTTGTACGCTGACAACAAGGCCATGATCCTCCTCTGTCGAGAGCCTCGACTGGAGAGCAGAGTGAAGCATATTGACGCGAGGTACTTCCTTCTGCGAGAGCTGCAGCGACGCGGCCAGGCACGCCTGGACTTTGTGCCTGCGAGATTATATGGGGACTGTTTTTTTCAGGCGTGTCCTACATCCGGGGAATTACGGACGGTACGCCATTTCGCCGGTTCTGCCTGTTGGAATTCTTCCGAGCCTAAATTTTGTGTGCTGATATGGTTGAGTGATGAAGGGACTGGGCTTACAGCGACGTCCCAAATCCACATTTGGTTTTGTCACAAGCTTTGATACATATTGTTTTATGATTTATTTATTTACAAACTTACAACATTATTTGTAACCCGGCAGCTTTTGCCGAATGCTCTCCCGTGGCCGAACCGCCTGACAATTCTCGAGAATGTAAACAGTATTATTGTACAGTGCACTGTACAACGCTAGCTGCTGTCAATCATAATCTCGTGCCACCTGCTCGCACCAAGCCTCGGATTTCAAAAATTCGAAAAGTTGCTGGTGATGCAACCCACTTCACCGAATTACCAACATGCATGTAACAGGTGCCCATCGGGGATGCAGGCCACTCAATCTTGGAGCTGTTCTCACTCTTCACTAGGGATGGTTTGCTTGTCAAGCCTCGTCGATCAAGTTCGAAATAGCTTTCAGAACGGTTCGAAGAAAAAGGGGCGCACGGCAGCAATGTCTTAATGATTAATATGGGCTTTTCCACATCCGCGGTTGGCGCCGCGAGTGCAGCTTTTGCGGCCCCGGGCTCTCCGCACATCCCTCGACCAGGCACGAGCCACGTGTAATAGTAGCGTTACCTTCGCGCAGTAGGTCACTCGGAGCTCAAGTAGTGGGGGCGTAGGGGGCGTAGCCTACGGTCACTGAGGGAGCGTAAAGCTGCAGTCACTGGTAAACCTTGTGCTGCTAGACGATCTACCCAACCGACCGCTAAAAAATTTGCCGGAATGTCCGCCGCAGCCGACGACGGCGACGCCGCCGCCGCCGCCGGCGCCGCCGTGCTGCCACCTGTCATCCGGCGGTTGGACGAGGCGGTGGTGAACCGCATCGCGGCGGGCGAGGTGATCCAACGGCCGGCGTCGGCCGTGAAGGAGCTGGTGGAGAACAGCCTGGACGCGCGCGCGCGGAGCGTGGGCGTGGTGGTGAAGGACGGCGGGCTCAAGATGATGCTCATCACCGACGACGGCCATGGCGTCCGCGTGAGTCGCGCGGGAAGTGGGTGGGTGCGTGCGGTCGTTGGGTGAGGCTACCTGCCAGTACTGTGCAAGGGGCACACCGCATTTTAGTCACGAGCTTTCACCACCGTCGCATCACATCCCCTCCCATCCAACCCCCTCATCCCTGTCTGCACCCACACCCACACCCTCTCCACCTCGGTCCCTCTCCCCCTCTTCCCCCCTCCCACCTCCGCCCTCTCCCCCTCCCCCCTCTCCTTCCCTCCCTCCTCCCCCCCTCTCCCCTTCTCCCTCTCCCCCCCCGTCCTCCTCCCAGCCGGAGGACCTACCGATCCTGTGTGAGCGGCACACCACATCGAAGCTGAGGGCGTTCTCGGACCTGGAGAGCATGGCCACGCTGGGCTTCCGCGGGGAGGCCCTCGCCAGCCTCACCTTCGTCTCGCACCTCACCGTCACCACCATGACCTCGGGGCAGACCCACGGCTTCAGGTCAGCCGCGTGAAGGGCTGCTGGAGGGTGCGAAGTGGGGAATCGTGGGTGGAATATGTGTGTGCAACGCACCTGCTGAAGGCTGCGCTTTGACTGGCAGGTGTTGGCCGTGGGGGAGTGGAGGCAGCAGCTCTTGGAGGCTTGGAGCTGATACTTAGTGTTTGGTATCGTAGGAGCTGGTACAGCAGCATTTAGGTGCGAGGGCGCTCAGGTGGGGGTGCTGCAGTCACGTGGGCCATGTGACCCACAGCTTCTCGTGTCTCACGTCCACGACAACACGGCAAGTAGAGATGTTGTTCTCTTCCCTGCCCCCCATGCTTCATCTGTCACCCACCTTTATCTGGAATGCAGGGCAGCGGCGACACCACGTGAGGCAGCTGTATGCAACGCACCTTCATGCTGGCATGCTTCGGCTGCCTTCACCCGTGCCTGCCCCACTGCTTTTGCACGGCACAATACAGAGGCTGGGAAGAGCAGGGACAGAGGCACCACCGCAGGAGATCAGCGCAGGCCAGTCAGGTGCTGGGGGAGAGCCCCAGCCTGCCCGCAGATCCTCTCTGCGTCTTCTTCAACGTGCCGCTTTCTTCGTGTTTACTCAAATCCAAAACACCTCTGCCTTTCCTCTCCCCACCCACCTGGCAGGGCGCAGTATCGGGACGGGGAGCTGGAGGGGGCGGCGGTGGCGTGTGCGGCGGTGCAGGGCACGCAGGTGTGGTTGGACGCTCTCTTCTTCAACGTCCCGTTTTCCTTCTTGCTTACTCAAATCAAAACTCCTCCGCCCCTCCTCTCCTCACCTACCCCACAGGGCACAATACCGGGACGGGGAGATGCAGGGGGCGGCGGTGGCGTGTGCGGCGGTGCAGGGCACGCAGGTGCTGGTGGACGACCTCTTCTTCAATGTGCCTGCTCGCCGCAAGGCCTTCCGCAGCCACAGCGAGGAGTACGCGCGCATCCTGGATGTTCTCAGCCGCTTTGCCATACACAACTATGACGTGTGCTTCTCCTGCAAGAAGGTGAGGGACGGGTGCCTGCTGCTGCTCACGCACGCTCAGCCTCCTTGTCGTCGCTCTCTCCCCACGCACGCTCTCCCTCTATCTCGCACTCATTTCCGTCTCTCTGTCTCTCCTGTCGAGGCAGACCATACCCCCCCCTTTTCGCCCGTTATCCCACCCTCTCCCACGTCTTTCCTTTCTACCCGTGAGTAGAGTGAGAGAGGCTAACACCTCTTCACCCCTGGTGCTCCCAGGTGTGCGCCCCCTCCCCTCTCATCTTTCCTCCTGCTTCCCTTCTTCTCCCTCCCCCTTCCCTCCGTGCCTCCCCTCATGCCAGTACGGTGAGGCACGCACCGACCTCTTCACGCCTGGTGCTCCCAAGCAGGCAGCAGGGGCAGGTGGGAAGAAACGGCGGAGAGGGAAAGAGAGTGGAAAGGACATGGGCGCGGAGAACAGAGAGGAGGGGAGAACGGAAGGGGAAGGTGGCGAGGCAGGCGAGGGAGAAAGGACGAAGGGAAGGGAGGAGGCGATGGAGAAGGGGGAGGAGAAGAAGGAGGATGATGAGGAGAATGAGGAGGAGGAGGCGGAGGCAGAGCGTAGGAGGCGGCAGGTGGAAGCAGTGAGAGCTGTGTATGGTGCTGCTGTGGCACGCGACCTCATTCCCATTGAGACCAGGCGCGGGGGATGGGGGGAGAAAGAGGGTGCTGGGAAAGAGGGAGGGGGGGTGGGAGAGGGAGAAGGGGGAGGAGGGGGAGGAGGGGAAGGAGGGGAAGGTGGTGGGAGTGATGAGGGGGGCAGAGGCGATGGTGTGCAGTTCTCAATGAGGGGGTTGATATCATCGGCGAATTACAGTGCCAAGAAGACCACCATGGTGCTCTTCATCAACAGTACGCACAACCCCTTGCCCTCGCCCCCTTCCCTCTCTCTCCCACCTCCCCTTCCCCCCTTCCCCCCGCCCCCCCGTCCCCCCGTCCCCCCTCCCCCCTCCACCTCCACTCACCGCTCAGCTGTTCCCTTTTTCACGTACAAGAGTATGCAGCCATCATGTACTGTCTCTTGCACCGAGGCAACTCTCGTGTCAACTCACAAGTCACCTTGTGCACCCACCCTCCCATGTGCCCCTCTCGTTTACCTCTCAGTGTCAATCCTCCTGATGCCCTCTTGCCTCTCTGTCCCTTCCCCTCACCCCACCACCCCTCCTCCTACCCCTCTTCCCACAACTCCTTCCACCCGTCCTCCCACCCCTGCATCAGACCGCCTGGTGGAGTGTTCGCCACTGCGCAAGGCGTGTGAGGCGACGTATGCAGCCATCCTGCCCAAGGCGGCGCGCCCCTTCCTCTACCTCGCGCTCTCCCTGCCACCGCACCACGTGGACGTCAACGTGCACCCCACCAAGCGCGAGGTGCGCCTCCCACTCTGCCTCTCCTCGCCCCTTCCACCTTTCACTGTGCCTCATGGGATACACACAACGGTACCCCCCTCCCTCCCTCTCCTCCCTCTCCTCCCTCCCTCTGCCACCAAGTGAGAGGTGTGCACGGTCTGATGGGCTTACTGCCTTGCCTTGCCCTACTCGCCGAGACCTGCCTGCTGGGCTGGGCGTCCACACCATGCTTGTCCCCACGGGCCTGCCCTCGCCCCACCCTTGGCCATTCTGGCTGCTCTTACCATTGCACCTGGCTCGGCTTCCACACCGTAGTCCCCACGCGCCTTCACACAGCGTGCCAGTGGCAGCAGTCTGTGCGACCATAGGCACACCAAGCCTGTCAACTCCTCCACCCATGCCCCGCCCGCTCAGCCCCTCCTCCCTTCAGCTCTCTTCCTCCCGCCGTACAACCATGATTCCTCCTCCTCCATCAAATGATCCCAACCATGTGCACAGACTCACTGAATCAAGTCAAGGTGGCGGCGGCGGTGCAAAACAGCAGTTGTGGAGCTCTCCTCACGCATAGTGTGCTCCATGTGTCTCTTCTAAACACAGCCACAACCCCACCCTCCGCTCTTCTATTCCCTCTTGTGTGCACCAACACCAGGTGGGCTTCTTGAATCAGGACGAGGTGGTGGCAGCGCTGCAGCAGGCGGTGCAGCAAGCCATGCTCTCCTCCAATTACACACGCACCTTCTACACCCACACCAACCTCCTCGCCGCCTCCACCCCTCCCCTCAAACCCCCTGCTGCTGCTGCTGCCTCTGCCGCTGCTGCTGACCCGTCCAACCCTGCTGCAGCAGTCGCCTCGCCCGCCACCAAGCAGCGCCCCCCCAAGCACGCCTCGCCGGGTACGCCCGTTGTGCCCCGTGACTCGTAGCCCGTGAGCCCTGTGTCCCTCCTGCTCTCACTTGCTCTTTCCCCAACCACCCCCACAAGCCTTGTGTGCCTCTCCGTGTGTTAGAACTGCGACCTTTTGGCACATGTCTTCTCTCTTCTTGCTGCTTGCGCACACGCACACGCATTGCATTCATCGTTTTGACCAAGCGGATGCGTCTGACCGGTGTCAGTTCCATGCTGCCTTGCACCGTCCCCTTGCATTCTCTCCGCCATCTGACTGCCAGAACCCTCCTTATCCCTCTCTCGCTGCCACCAATGCCATAAGCCCACCCAGTCAGCCTTCTCACCTGCTTCGTTTCATGTTACCCTGCTGCCAAGTCTCCTTACCAAGTTTCAAGTTCTGCACCCATCTTACCACCTTGCTTTCTCCTGTGCTACCCTGTTACCCTGTTATTATGGAACCATTCGCTGATTACTTTATCTTTTCCCTGCCTCCATGTCTCTCCCCCATCCCCCTCCCCTCTCTCCCCCCACCACCAGCATCCCTGAGGCCGCCAGAGCATCGTCTTGTGCGCACGGATGCGCGAATCCCAGCAGGCCGCCTCCACGCCTTCTTCTCCCACCGCCCCTCCTCCTCCTCCCAGCCCTCGCCTTCACTATCCCAGCCACTGTTGTCTCAGCAGCCACCGCACTCCCAACCACTCCTTGCCCATCCCTCCTCCTCTCAACCCCCTCATGCTCCCTCTGCCACCTCTCCGCTTGACTCGGCCTCGGAACAGGCAAGAGGCGTGGAGGGAGGAGGAGAGGAGGAGGGGCGTGAGGAGAGCAAAGGAGAGGGAGTGGGGTCAGATGGAGTGGGGGAGGCCGGGACGCGTGCGGATCCAGTGGAAACAGGGAGCAGGGAGGCAGAGGGGAGTGGACGTGGGGAAGTGCAGGGAGTGAAGGAGAGATGGGACACTGAGGAGGCAGACTGCGTGGGGGCTGCGCAGCAAGGGAGGATAGAGAGGGCAGCGTCTGTGGCAGGGCCCTGTGTGGATGGATCGGCTGCAGCAGGTGTGGCAGCTCCGTGTGTGCAGCTACAAGCAGGGTTGGCTGGTAGCAGCGAGCAGGCGGCAGGGGATAGCTTGGCAGCCACAAGGTGTGTGGGGGGGAACGAGGGCACATGGGGTGGGCTTGTTTCCTCTCTCACATGCGTACTGCGAACCGTCGTGCTGCCTTTCCTCTTCCCTCTTTCCACTTTCCGCGTCCAAGTGGCCCTGTTTGGATATCTGTCCTTTTCAGTTTGTCAATCTGCATCTTCTCCTGTCCATTACCCACCGCTGCGAGCAGGCACGCGGTGAGGAAGAGGAGGAGTCTCAAGGGGGCAGCTGCGGGGGCAGGAGGGATGCGAGTGGTGGGAGGAGGAGTGGGAGGAGAGGAGCGGCTGACGAGCGTGGAGGAGCTGATGGAGGGGATCTCTGCACGCACACACTCAGGTGGGGGCACACACACAGGTGGGGGCACACACACAGGTGGGGGCACACACACAGGTGGGGGCACACACTCAGGTGGGGGCACACACACAGGTGGGGCCACACACTCAGGTGGGGGCACACACTCAGGTGGGGGCACACACTCAGGTGGGGGCACACACACAGGTGGGGGCACACACTCAGGTGGGGGCACACACTCAGGTGGGGGCACACACTCAGGTGGGGGCACACACACAGGTGCGATGCTGCTGCTCACTGTCATCACTAGGCACAATCGATGCCCACCCATGCATGCATGTTATGGGTCCAACCAACAGGCACGGGTCCACTTGCAATACTTGCAATACTTGCAATACTTGCAATACTTGCAATACTTGCAATACTTGCAATACTTGCAATACTTGCAATACTTGCAATACTTGCAATACTTGCAATACTTGCAATACTTGCAATACTTGCAATACTTGCAATACTTGCAATACTTGCAATACTTGCAATACTTGCAATACTTGCAATACTTGCAATACTTGCAATACTTGCAATACTTGCAATACTTGCAATACTTGCAATACTTGCAATACTTGCCTCTTACCTGCACTGCTGTTACCCTGTGCCTTTCGTTTCTGCCCCACCGCACTGCACCCCTCAACAGCAAGGAGCTGATGTGGCAGCAGGCGATTCGCCGCTTCGCGCGCTTCACGTGCATGACGCTGCACCCCCCTCCACTGCTCGCGGACCTGCTGCTACTGGCGCTGGAGGAGGAGGAGAGGGCGGGCGGGCGCACACGGGCTCATGGGTGCAAGCAGGAGATGGTGGAGGTGAGTCACAATGGAGGAAGGATGCTTTTGATCGAAATGTAGCCACCGTGCTGCTCCATCACCTGCTCCTCCTGCTGACATCTCTTGGCCATCACAACATCTATGTGTCCTTGTTTCTTCCTCTTTTCTCCTCTCCTCTCCTCTCCTCTTCTCTCCTCTCCTCTCCTCTCCTCTTCTCTCCTCTCCTCTCCTCTCCTTTACCCTCCTCTCCTCTCCCTATACTCTCCTCTCCTGTCCTCTTCTCTCCTTGCATGCTCCTCGTGCTTGTGCCGCCTCTGCCTTGACCTTGATCGTGCGTGTGTGTCCCACTCGACTCACCTCTCATGCCTCTCACGCCACAATACTTCCCAGCCCACCTCCCATTTGACCTGAGTCGCCCCAAATCTCACCTCTCTTCCAAGACAATTTCCCGGCCGGCCCAACCCAGGTGATCACCATTGCTGCTGGAGCTGAGTGTCGTGCCAGGCTGCCAGACTAGACGCGTGCTCATCTCAATCTCACTCTTGTTATTCCTCACACTCTTCTCACTCATCTCACTCGTCCCTTCTCCCTTCCCCCTCACACCGCTCACCATGCATCATTGCACCTGCTCCAGCCCACTGCAGGACCACTATCGACATGTTTCCAAAGTGTTCCCACTCACTGCTCCCTCCGTAACCTCTTATCCCCCCCCCCTCTCTCTTCCCCTGCGTGCACCAGGCGTGGGTGCAGGCGCTACAGGGCAGGGCGGAGATGCTATCAGAGTACTTCGCCCTCTCCATCTCCCCGGACGCCCACCTGCTCTCACTGCCCTTGCTGCTCGACCACCACACGCCCGACCTCACCCGCCTGCCATCCCTCGCACTCGCCCTTGCCAATGAGGTGCTACCATTCGCCATTCCTGCCTGCTTCCTCTCACATGCACGCTGTCCGCACGGCTCTGCGAGTCTTGTCCCCAGCATATAGTTACTGCGGAGCATCCTCCGGTCTTTCCTTTGCCGCCTTGTAAATGGGGTGAAGATATAGTTACTGTCATGCTGCATCTCGTATTCCCGCATCCACAGTACCATGCGTTTGACACCCTCACGTGCATTGTGTATCTCCCTGCCCCTTCACCCTGCCTCGCCACCTATTGATTTCCTTGTTGCCGCGTCCTTTCCCCTCCCTTCCCCAACCTTCGCTTTCCCCACCCAATCCCCTCTTTCACTCTCCCGCGGATAGCCACAACAAGCAGGCGAGCATGCATCCCTCGCTGCCCCATTCGCCTGCCTCTGCGCCCTTCACAATCTTCCGCCGTCGTGGTTTTCTCCCTCGCTTTCTCTCCTTTCATGCACTCCCGTCTTAAACCCTTTCTCCGACGCTTTGTCCTGCTCTCTTCCCCACGGCTTGCCCACACGTGCAGGTGGAGTGGGACGATGAGAAGGCCTGCTTTGCCTCGCTCGCTGCTGCTCTGGCGGACTTCTTTGCCTTCCACGCGCCGCTGCTGCCCCGCCCCTCCTCCAACCAGCAAGAGAAGGAAACGAGTGACGAGGAAAAAGAGGGGCTGGGGCAGGCGAGGGGAGAGGAGGATGGGGAGGCAAGCAGGAAGCGGAAAGAACGGGGTTCGGAAGGGGCTGCAAATGAGGAGAGTGCTCGGGGCGGGAAGGAAGCTAATGTGGTTGGATCCACAGCTGGGGTGACTGTAGCAGGCGGGGGTGGAGTGGGAGTGAGTGAGGAAGGTGGGAGTGAGGAGGGGGTGAGTGAGGGGGAGGTGGAGGCGATGTGGCGGCAGTGGGAGTGGAGCATACAGCATGTACTGCTGCCCGCACTCAAGTTCTTCCTCAAGCCCCCCAAGCGCATGGCCAGGGATGGCAGCTTCATCAAGGTGAGACGCAATGCAATGGTGTTCCTCTGCTGCCCCCAGGCCAAGTGGTAATTCTTCATTCTCTGCGGTCTCGTAACTCGTTTTGTCAATCGCATGCTTTCTTAGCAGTTACGGTATTGTGTTTGCGGTGACACGTGTGTGGTCTTCTGAAACTGACTGTCGTATGATCGTATCGTTCCTGGTTTGTTGTGGCTGCAGATAGCATCACTTGAGAACCTCTACAAGATATTCGAGCGCTGCTGAGTGTTTTTACTAATACAGTGCAAGTATACATACATGTGTTTTTCGAGTGTACATAGAACATACATACCTAGCTGCGACTCCAGTTATATGCATTGGAACAAGCACAATCAAAGTTTCCCAACAACAGTGCACAAAAACAGGTGTTCGGGTTGCCATGTAAATGCAGATGAACATGGGCACTGCTGGGATGCCAGGGTGGACTAAGTGCGATCGACCTTACACGGTCTGACGTGTCAGCGTACATGAATAAGGTTTTGTATGTGTACTTTATAGGCAGTAAGGGTTGCACAATAGAGGGTCTGAGATGGCACATCCCCCTTATAGATATTCGAGCGCTGCTGAGTGTTCTACTCGAACAGTGCATAAATAAGGAATACTATGTGAATTCCGAGTGTACATATATCATACATACCTAGCTGCGACTCCAGTTATCGTGCATGAGAGCATGCACTATATTCTTGAAACCATTACCGGTACCAATTTACCAGTCTTGGCAAAGTCATTATAGCACTTGCTGAATGTAAGCTTGTGCAAGCTGGCCCTTTCGGTCCTGTAAAACCACCACAGTAGCGCAGCAACATTAGCAACTTACGGTAATGCAAAACAAGCACCAAAATCGTTGACAGGCACAGCTCCCTCCCTAATGCAACGTAAGCCGTCCTCACCTCCAGCTCCCTAATGAACTCCACAGCAGAAGCCAACAGTGACGCCATGTCTGTTCGAGATGACAGGCTTGACTTATGTTTCTGACGCATCCACGAGGGAGGCAGAACCGTTTCAAGCCGCTTGAATCCGGCACTGCAGAACATGGGAGGCAGCAGTGGCACAGGAAACCCATGTCAGTCTTCCAAGAAACGATTTTCTATGAGTGCAATCAAGCCATTTCGCGCAAAGCTGTGATTACCTGATGCGGTGTCTTCTAAGCTTTTCTGCAGCGCTCCTGCTTTGAATAGGCGGCCGCTCCAAGCCCAGCCCGTTGCCATCCGCTTCGTCCCCCTGGGTTGCCTGTACGGAATCTGCTGGGTGGGCTGCCTCTCGTGAAGCCGCCGACAATTTCGACAGTGGATCCAACACTGTTGCCCCTTCCATGGCAGCAGCAGGTGGACGGCTCACAGCAGCAGAGCTGACCATGCCGACAGTAGATCCAACGGCAGGAATTGGAGCTAGTTGTGCCCAGGAGGATAGTGGAGCAGAAGCTTGGCTGTCGACTGCGAGAGAGACTGACCCGGTAGAACCATTGTCAGGGCGTTTGAAACCCACTCCATCACCACCCACCAAACACTGCTTTTTCCGAGGCTGCATGGCCGGGGCCTCAGCAATCAAATCGTCGCCGCCCCACCAGCTGGCGGAACCCTTGCGCTTGAATCCTCCCGACACAATCATGTCGTACAGAGTTCCCTCTCGGGATGCTGCTAGTGGGGTTCCGACTCGCGCGCTGCATCCTGACGATTGCGTCGGTGTTGCTTGCGCTGATCTCAGTGATAGTGGCGCTTCTTGCTGGAGAAAATGAGACTGAGAAGCCGCGCTGGGCACGTTGATAGGAAATGCTGCTGCTGCAGCAGCAGAAGGAGCAGCAGGAGCAGGAATAGCAACCGGAGTGCTCAGCAGCGAGTGGATCTGACGATGGGCTGCAAAGGGCGCTGCCATACATTGCTGAGGCGGCTCACAGATGGGCAATGCGGTAGCAGCTGGAGTGCTCAGCACTGGATGGATCTGATGATAGGGTGCAGCAGGCGCTCGCGTAGATTTCTGAGACGGCTCACACATAGGCAGTGCAGCAGCAGCTGAAGCCATCATCACCGAACCGATATCGTCATGGGATGAAAGAGGCGAGGGAATCACAGCTGCTGCCGCCATCTGTGTGAAACTTAGATTTATCAGTGAAGGCTGAGTCAGCATGCTGACGTATCCTCCGCTTTCTGAGATGCTGACATCTGTCATGGCTCCCACATGGCGCAATCCGGACTCAGAAATCGACGCCATGACGTCAGGCCGTGACGTTTCCACCTGGAGCGAATCGTTGAACGCTGACTCTGTCGCAGTGCTGTGCATGCCGCATGGCGGCAGCTGATTTTTTGTGATACTGGACGTTAGTTCGACCGTGAAGACTCCCAATGGCACTCGAGCATAAGAGCTGCTCCCATCCGCGGGTTCCCATTCAGTCGCTCCTGCGGTTCGCTGGACCTCCTCCCCCGCCGTTTCCTGCGCCTTCCAGGAGATGTGTATTCCGTCACAGCCTGCGGGGCACTTTGACGAGCACTGCAAGTCCAGAAACGGCAGCGGGATGCTGCTAGGGACCTCCATGACTGTGGTATTATAGTACATGATCCGGATGACAATAAAGCAGTAACTTTACGAATGGTCTATGGCTAGGATACAGCTGACTCGATCGCCACTTCTATAAGTAGCAGTCGTAAGGGTCACAGTGTTCGGTGGAAAATTTGACAGTGAAAGCGATGGCCCTCGTTCGAGGTCCAGATCACCTGAGTAGCAAGGCGATGTACAGAACACGAATGGAAGGAAACGATGTGAGCCATTCGTGCAGCTGCGACCATGACTTTCCAGGTGCCCCCGTAGTACTCTCCGTACAGTGCACCACTCCATGATGCGATTGTCGTCCGATCACATCTGTGACGTAATAGCTGACGCATTCGAACTACAGTAATGGCACTATCCAAAATCCAGAGGCTCAGACTCGCAAGCAGCGCTAGTAACGATCGTTCAGCCGTGCAGTTTCTTGCTCGCCGGCATCAGGCTGATCAAAATTCTGTTCACCAACTGTACGAACAAAATTCATATGTTCTAGGATAGCGCGTGCTAGCCCTTTTTGGAAGGACGCCAAATTCCTACATTATGGTTTACCAGCATACGACATCCAAAGTTGACGTTACATCAACGGATCCAGCAGGGCTAATCACTAAGACCTAACGATGTCTGGCTTCCAGAGAAAGCCGGCTTTCAAATGGCCTTAAAACTACAGATGCAATACAAACGCCGTGGAAATCGCCGCCATTGTAGCTTGCCAGATGGAGCTAAAATGGCGGTGTACTGGCGAATAGAGAGGTACTGGCAGAAGTGACGAGGAGTTCCACGGTTTTTACCTGAGTGGGTGGGAGAGTCCTTGAGCCCTGACCCCGGTACAGTATACAGTACACGTAAGTTGCAAAGCGGTGAGCATCAAGCTCTGTGAATCAGGCACACGTGAAGGTCAATCTGGATGTTCAGTTCAGAAACAATCCTGCCACTATCGCGTACGATTTCGGAAAGCTGGAGTGCCCGCCTGTTGACGAGACGACCTCAGCTCAGGCTGCCATAGTGCATAAACAAGACGGCGAATCGAATGGGATTGTAGGAATTCCGACGATAGCGCGGCGCTTGATGTGCTGGTTGGGTACCCCCGAAACATGGATCTGCTGAGCTGTGGTACCAGAGGTGCCCTGCGGTATGTGATCACACGTGGCACCAGTTGAGCAGTTCGTTGGTCGACTCGCTAAGAACCAGCCTGGTTCACATTCCACTTCCAGCGGCCACAAACACAATTGTGACGAAGTGCACAACTAGAAACACTCCTACATTTTCAAGCAACCTTGATACCGTGATCTCCCGGTTAGAAGCCCCGGGGGTCTTATCCTAAATGTGCTTGAAATGCTCTGTGGGGTCTTCTGTAATGGCATATAGTGCATAAGACCCCTGGACATCTAATAATTACAGAAATATGGAATGTAAGGAAGAGTGTTGTGTAAATTCATTTTTTCCACCTTTGCGAATTCGAGTTCGGCTGTAAGCGAGGAACCATATCGCAACTTTCGCGCACCTCGCCCCATGCCACGCGTCACACATTGAAGCATGACGGCGGCATGAATAGGCGGTGCTGGCGCCGCGCCCCTGCCACTGATTGGTGTGTTGACCACACAACCTGCACCCCATCAGATTCATTGCATCTGATGGGGTGCTGGGTTCGAGAACGTTCCGCCGTGCACAGCTGGAATGCATGTGCCACGGGGAACGTGAACTCCCCCCACTGATGGGTTCGGGAACGTTCCACCGTGCACAGCTGGATTGCATGCGACACGGGGAACGTGAACCCCCCCAGCTCACGTCCCTGTCCTCCCCGGCTTCAGAGGGGGGTAGTCCGAGTCGATGAGGCTCATTCTCAGTTTTTTTCCTGAGATGAAAGCCTCCCCTCGACACTCCTAGCCACCATGCTCTCTCCCGTAAGTTTAGCCCGCTCTCCCCAACACCTGCGGTCATGTCGGCGCTGGACATGCTGATGAAGATGCGGGCTGTCAGTGCAGCCCGCGGCCTTGCAGCCATGGCGAACTCACCCCCGGCTCCACCAGCCCCGCCGACTCCTCCGGCCCCGCCTTCTCCGCCTGTTCCTCCATCTCCGCCCGCACCTCCCGCTCCTCCGGCGCCACCCGTGCCCCCTTTCACTTACCCCTTCGAACCTGTGAACGACGACGAGGAGTTTCTTCGGGCGCAGGAGCCTGACTCGTCTTCGACCGATGACGAGGGGGGCGACGATGCCGCAGCGACCGATGAAAACCTTCCTTTTCCTCTGCCCCAGTTCCCCACAGATGTGCTGCGCGATGTCAACCCTGCCGCGGTCGCACGTGATTCTGTAACTCCCGATTCCCGCAACAAGATAAACCAGCACAAGCGACACGCCCGCACCATGGCTGAGAAGATGGGTTGGCTTCTGCGAATGAAAGATGATATCCTGACGGTGCGCGAAACTGCACGACTGGCCGGCGTTCAACCAGTCAGCATCCGCCGCTGGAGGAAGGCGGCTGATGAGATGGCAGCGTCGGCTGGCAGTCGTCTGCGGCTTGCGGGAGACGGACGGCAGGCCCGCTACCCTGACATGGAAACCTCCGTGTACAAGCAGTTCCTGAGCCACAGGTCACGCGGACTGGCGGTCCCGATTAAGCTGCTGCAGACGTGGAGCCGGATTTCGATGAAGAACCGGCACCCTGAGGTCGACTGGCGCGCCTCTCCACGATGGACGGTCAGGTTTCGTCGGCGCTGGGGACTTACCGTGAGGGTGAAGACGAAGATCGGGCAGCGGCTGACTAAAGGTGCGGTAAATTTCAACGCGTTTAATTTAACCGGGGTTGCTCTACATCACCTAACTCAACCGTGCGGTTTGTCTTTTCTGTTTACGTGCAGATTGCAACACGAAGTGTGAAAGCTTATGGAAGTTCTGCAGGAGGCAACTGGTCCGCGACGGCATCGACCCCTGGAACGTTATCAATGCCGACCAGACGCCGGTGTTCCTCGAGATGCTGCACGAGAGGACGTTGGCGCATCGTGTCGAGCGCGCGGTTCACATTCGGAGTGCTGGCTATGAGAAGTCACGGATGACCGTGATGCTGGCGGTCACGGGGACGGGGGTGAAGCTACCGCCGATGGTGATCTTCAAGCGGAAGACCATCCCCAACATCCGTGTCGCGCCAGGTGAGTTGTTGCTTGTGTTTCTTTTAACCGCATGGGTTGTGTTGTGCATGCTTGCCCCCCGCTGACGGTTTGCGCTCTCTGTGTGCAGGCATGCTCGTTCGAGCGCAAGAACGAGGCTGGATGGATTCCAACCTCGTCCTGGACTGGGTGCAGAATGTGCTGGTACCTCACACGCGCCCCCGCCCAGGCATCAACCGCAGCCGTACGCTGCTCGTACTGGACTCATACCGTGGGCATCTGACGGACTCGGTACGGGGGATGCTACGCTGGCATCGCATCACGCCAGCGATCATCCCTGGCGGCTGCACGCCTCTTCTGCAGCCGCTTGACGTGAACATAAATCGGTCCTTCAAGGCGGGCGTCCGGCAGATGTACAACGACTGGTTTGCCGACTTCGGCATCAACACCCTGACCCCTGCCGGTAAGCACTTCCTTAACGTGCTTGCGCCCCTGTACCGTCTGCTAAGCCTTCAGCATGCTAACGCATTTGTGTGTGTTTACCGCTGCAGGCAATCTCAGGAAGCCGCCAGCGGAGTTGGTGCTCCTGTGGATCGCCACGGCCTGGACCGCCGTCCCCGAGGAGCTCATTGTCCGCTCGTTCAAGACATGCGGCATCACCAACAACCCCGACGGGCGCGAGGATCACTTGATCCTCGCGCACATGCGCGATGGAGCTCAAGTGGAGGTGCACGACGACGTGCACGCGGCGGGGGATGTGGAGGAGTGGGTGAACCCCATGTACGCCACTGCCCAGGAGGAGGAGGAGGAGGAGGAGGAGGAAGAGCGGGACGAGGAGGCACCGGTGGAGGAGGAGGACCCTATGGAGGAGGTGGACGGCGTGGACAGTGAGGAGGAGTAGACCGCTGTAGTAGTAGGTAGCAGTGGTTGGCGCCTGCGGGCGGTAGTTAGGTAGCTTATGTATTGACAAATCTAACATTAAAGGATTGTTTAGTAGAGTTGAACTTACCGTAAGTGTAGTCTAGAGATGTGGTAGTAAAATCGTTGCTAAATGCTAAAAAAATACAGGTTTTTGTGAAGAGGGGGGGTCTTATAATTAATTGGGTCAAAAGGCGGGTCCTCACCAGGACTGACACAATAAAAGACCCCTGGTCCGGATAGAAGACCCATGGGGCTTTTATGCGGGGGGGTCTTGTAACCGGGAGATCACGGTAGCTTTCACATGAAAGTGGAATATACATACGGTATTCCATATGTAACACTGTCAGATTCTAGCTAGTTAGTAACAAACCTGCCACGGCTCTTTATTTGTTTCTGCAGCACAGAACTTCCTCTTTTCTTTTTTTCAGTAATACTTATATTTCTCATGCAGCTAGTAACAGCACTTCATGCCTATGTTCATACAATCAGCCTTTTGCTGTCATCGTCTAAGGTGTGAAGCCCACTAGTCCCGTCACGCCGTCTGGTATGTTCTCACGTTCTGGAAACATGCTTGTGACAGCTGAGCCTTCTGTTCCTGCAGACAAGCTCAAGATTGCAAAAGGAGATAAGAACACAGAAAGCAAAACAAGAAGGAAATGTTGGCTGTTTGATCTCACTAGGTAAACAACTCTACCACTCACCTCCAGCTCCTCTATATAGTCCCGTTTTGAATGCCAAGTTTGACGCACACATTCGTCGCAGCCATAGAGCAGGAATTGCCTTCTCCAACTGCTTGAATCCATCCCTACATCAATCCGGGATGGTAGAGTAACAGGGACTTGTCTTGAATAACTTGGGAGAGAGCAGCAAAGGTCAGCAGCACAAAAAGGAAAAACAGCAATGCTCGCAACGAGTGCTGCATTTGCAGGAATTGCACATGCGCACAACAAGTGCCACCATAGGAGATTGCTACCTGACCCGATGTCTTCTGCGCTTCTCCGTGGCGCTTCTACGGCCAATAGGCGGCCTTCCTGCGCCTACACTGAGCCTTGCATGGCATAGCGCACCGATAGACGACTCCAGTGACGGGTTGGGGTCAACAGGAGGAAGAGACAACAATGGACCACGCACCAAGCGTGCAGGTGCAAAGTCAGGAAGGTCACGCAGTCGTTGTTGCTCCGCCTCATCGGGCGTCTGCTGTGGCTGCACCTACTCCTGCTGCTGCTCCTGATGTGCCTCTAGTGGGGGCAGCTGCACCTGCAGCTGCAACGGCACCGGCGGCTATGGCTCCTCCTCTACCCTCCCCTGCTGCGGCGCCAACTGCACCTGCTGCTGCGGCCGTGGGTCCTCCTCTGACCTCTCCTGCGACGGCTGTAACTGAACCTGCTGCTGCGGGTGTGGCTCCTCCTCCACTTGCTCCTGCTGTGACTGCAATTGCACCTGCTGTTGCTGCTGGTGCTGCTCCTGCTCCTCCCTCCCCAACTGTAGAAGACGCTGCTGACGAGTCTGGAAACGTACGGTGCGCGGTGTAGGCGTCGGAGGGCCAACGTCTCCAGATCCAGCACCCCCAGAACCAGGAGCTCCACCACCAACACCCTGAGGGCCTCCAGTACCTCCCCTAGAAACACCCCTAGACTCCACAGCAACTGGCTGCAGGGACGTGCGACGAGGGAACTGCGGGACTGACAGGATTCAGGGGGTGAGGTGGGGCGAGGCTGCCGACTCGAGACAGCCGTGTCCTCCACAGGAGTGGCCTCCACGCCCACACCCCCTGTACCACCAGAGCCGGCACCACCAGCTCCAGCAGCCCCAGTACCTTCACCCTCCACAGCTGCACCTCCCGCACCCCCAGACACGATAGGGGCTGGACGCTGCGGGGGAGACGACTGCGGAGTGACGTGCGACACACCTGACGGGGAAGGACGCGAGAGGGGGGGGGGGGGTGGCTACCGGGGCGACTGGGGGGGGGCTCATGGGTGAGGAACAGCGGGGGGGAAAAGACCTCTGAACCTCGGTAGGGCGACTCCTGTAGTAACAAACCAACTCGTCGAAAGTGACGTCACGAGAACTGAAGATGGTGGGTGACCGGGTCGTAGAACGCCCAGCCAGAGGCGTCCAGAGGGAAGCGAAGAAAGATGCAGGCACAAGTGCGCGCATACAACTTGTTCGCGACAGGGGCGCGAATGTGAGCGAGAGAACCCCAGACGCGGTAGTCAGCTGCTACACCCCGAAAACCTGTCCAAAGGAAGACCGGCGTCACCCATGGCGTCATAGGGCCACAGGTTCAGCTGGTGCGCGGCGTAGCTGACTGCCTGTGGCTACAAGAACTGGGGGGCACCGACATGGCACATGGAGGTCTGGGCAACCTCCATGACCAGGCCGATGCGTCGCTCAGCGACCTCGTTCTGCTGCGGCGAGTCTTGTAGAGTGTAAGTCTTGGTGATCCCCTGGCCCTCACAGAACACCTCCAGGCGAGTGGAAGCAAACTCACCACCACGGTCCGAGTGTAGATGGAGTCCACGCAAGCCCTGGGTGCCACCCCTCACTAGTAGCCACGGCTCGAGAACACTAGGCGCGCCGGCCTTCCGTCGCAGGGGAAAAAACGTGGTGTAGCGGGAGTAGTCGTCCACCACAATCAGGAAGAAGCGCTCCTGACGTGGGCGAAGGACAGGGGAGGGGCCCAAAACGTTTAAGTGAAGGGTCTGTAAGGGAGCTGTGGAGGGGGGGGGGGGGGGGGGGGGGGGGGAACGAGGAGGAGTGAGGGGCAGCGCGCTGCCACCCCTCGACGCAATGAGTGCACGGCGGTGCAGGCGAGCAGGGAAGCGAAAGGGGGCGCGACGGGGAGGCGACGGGGACGCAACACGGAGGCGACGGGAAGGCGACGTGGAGGGGAAGGGGAGGAGACGGGAAGGCGACGGGGAAGGGACGCGACGGGGAGGGGACAGGGAGGCGACGGGAAGGCGACCAAAACGGGCGCTATGGACAATGAGGCGCTTCGGGCAATGGGGAGCTAAGGGCGACGGGGCGCTTTGGGCAACGGGGCGCTACGGACGACGGGGGGACACGGGGCTGTGGGCCCATAGGATCGATCGATGCACTATACCACGTGAAGTTATGAACTATGGAATGATTGAACTAGAAGTGAAAGTATAAACAAGATATAGGTCAAGGCTAACCCTAAACCAAGGACAAGTGAAATACACCTAGACTTGAATTAACCAAACTATACTATTATAGTTTGAGAGTGTCCTATCCTAAGGCATTTTACCTGCAGGCTACTAAGAGAGTGTTGAAGTACCTGAAAGGTTGTGTGAAGTCAGGTATCTTGTGCCCCGCATGCAGCGAGCCTCAGGTCGAGTTGGTGGGCTTTAGTGATGTTGATTATGCTGGAGATTCAGCTAATCGCAAGAGTCACACCGGCTATGTCTATTGCCTCAATGGTGCAGCCATCTCTTGGCAAAGCAAGAGGCAGCCGGTGGTGGCATAATATACCACCGAGAGTGAGTACATCAGTCTGTGTAAGTGCATTCAAGATGGCGTGTGGCTGAAGCGTTTGTTTGGGAAGTTTGGGTTGCTGGTGGTGTGCCTGCGTTTGTGGACAACCAGTCTGCCATTGCCCTTGGACAGATTGCATGCTTGCATGGCCGCACCAAGCACATGCAGGTTCGGTGGCATTTCATCAGGGAGATGGTGGCTAGTGGTGAGGTCCGGTGGTGTCCGACCAACCGCCAAGCAGCAGACATCCTAACCAAACCCCTTCCTTTTGAGCGGGATGGTGTGTGCATGTCCTTGCTAGGGATGCAGCCCCATGTTGGCATGGTGCCTGAGCAAGATGTGGGAGGGCTGGTGCTTCTCTCCCTTGACGATATCATGTTGTGGATGGCGCCCCTCCATGGGCAAGGAGGAGTGAAGGATTTTTCCCAGTGGTGTTCAGCCACCTCCATCACGAGCAAGGGGGAATGTTGATTATGTAGGTGGTTGTGGTATTTTGCTCTAGCTAGTTGTGGGCTAAGGAGTTGGGCAAAATATGATTGTTAGACTTGTTGCAGACTGGAATCAATCTTGCACCTAACAAGCACCAACAAACCTTTGCTATTAACTACAACACCTTTGGTGTTGCTAGTTTGGCACTTTGGGTTGTTGGGTATTGTTGTAGGGCGAGGGTTGGGATGGTAGGGTTTGTTAAATTCGTCACGTTTCAAATCTGCACTCTTGCTAAAGCTATTCCTAGATCTAATCCATGGCTCTTTAGGAATTCCGCCATGATACCCCGTCTCACTCAGATCGTGATAGCGATCGGCCTAGATCCTGGTTGAAGGCGTGCTTTACCATTCTGGATATTAGATATTCATACCTTTCCAACTCGTACCTGCTCATATTAGAATTTTACGTGAGCTGCACGCAATGTTCCGTCGAAGTCGGCGGACTTAATCTCTAACTTCGCTCTCTAAATTTGCATGCTTTCCATCATGAAAATCCTCTGACGCACTCGACAGTGCTGAGTGGAAGGACTGCAACCGCTTTCCATTGCTGCACAAGAGAGGGGACGTTTTATTTTCAGTCGTTGGTCTCAAGGATGTTGTGTAGGCTTTGAGAAAAGCCTTCATTCAAGAGCCGCTTCAGCAACATGTTGGTCAACATACCAATGCCTGCATCGCATACGACTCAGGTGACACTTGCCAAAAAAGGGGATGTAATGATAGAGAGGAAAAAATAGACAGCTTTTGAGCTACTTATGCCAATCAGCATGAATAACCAAGAGAGTGCACAATTTGTTGAATCACCTGGCAGCTTGTTGTGAGCGAGCGCGAGGAGTTTATATGGGTTATTTGACCAATAATCCTCCCTCTTTCCAGGGGTTTGCAATGGCGAAGTATGGGGGCGAAAGAGCAAGGCTCCCTCCACCTTTTTTTATTAAATCACCCAACCGTGATGCGAGGGCCGCAACCAGACGTTAAGCTAGTTCTGTGCCTATAGCAA